GGTCATATCGGCTCTAAACTAATGTATGTGTCCTGGTATCTGGGCTTATTGGCTCTGAGAGAGTAGGAGATACCCACCCGATATATATATATATATATATATGATATATATATATATATATATATATATATATATATATATATATATATATGGCCTATATATATATATATATATATATATATATATATATATATATATATATATATATATATATATATATATATATATATATATATATATATATATATATATATATATATATATATATATATATATATATATATATATATATATATATATATATATATATATAAATAAATAAATAAATATATATATATATATATATATATATATATATATATATATATATATTTGTAATAGAGAGAGAATGAGTGAGGGAGATTGGAAATTAAGTGTGTTAATTTAACTATTTCGAAAATTTGTTGAGAAAACTAAAAGATTTATAGAACGAAAAGAATCACCAAATAAAAAGTTACTAGCCTTTTAGAAAAATACATTAATGTTATATAGTACAACACATTTGTTAACCCGTTCAAAATTTTTAATTTTTTGTCAGTTCATCAAGACCAAGACAAAGTTTTAAGGGGCAGGCTACAGGAGCGTCATTACACCGTCATCCAAAAAGAATACGAGCAGCTAATTCGAGACATAGATGCTAAATACCTAACAGATTATCTATTTTCCAAATGTATTATCGACTTCAACGATAAGCAGATTATCTCCTCCAAACACACATCAGGGGAGAGAACCCGGGCTCTTCTGGACGTGATCCTAACGTCTGGACCTTACAGGGCGTTCCCTGAATTTGTGACAGCTCTTGAAAAAGATTATCCACAGATGGCATCAAGATTAGGCATGTTCTTGTGATAAAAACAAAAGAAATTTTACATCGAATCGTGAAAACTTTAGGTTTCTTTAAAAGTTTCTAAATTTTAAAATAAAATAAAATATCATGTGATAAATATTTCTGATCAAATATTTTAATATAATACTGTTTAATAATACTTCACGGTAACACGGCGACCAATAAAGCAAATGTTATTGTTGTTAACTTTAGTTGTAGGTTAAATACATCTGGAAAGTTAACTTTTAAAATGGTTGAGTAGGGTGCGCGGACCTTTGACCACAGGTGCTTTGACCATAGGGGGTTTGACCATAGGGGGTTTGACCACAGCGGAGCTTTGACCATAGGGGCTTTGACCATAGGGCGTTTGACCACAGCGGGCCTTTGACCATAGCGGTGCTTTGACCATAGGGGGTTTGATCATAGGGGGTTTGACCATAGGGGGTTTGACCACATGTGTTTTCTTAGCAGAGGGTCTTTGATCACAGGTGGTCTATTAACTGGTGTTTGATCACAAGCGCTGTGTCCGGCTTTGATCATTGGTGTGATACAATTAACACGATTTTATACATGTTTCCTGAAAGTACGTTAATAGAAATTAACATGTATTTAAAAAAAAGCCAAGAACTATATTTTAGTCTTCTCATAAAGGCTGGTGCTAGGCCTCATAGATTTATTTTAAGTATAAATGAAACACAAATAATGCGACATATAACACGTTTCACAAATAAATAATGTAGATGTACTTGAAAATACATAGCATATATAAAGGATAAAAGGATAAAACATGATACAAAACTTGCCAACAATATGGTCAAAGATGTAATACATAAAATGGTTAACTAAACGACAGATGTGCTATAACACGCAAATATGTCAGTACATCTGTTTGACCATATGTCTGGACAGTACGTTGTACTTTTTCGTGCAGCGTCTTGTATCGCTTCTCAGCTGGGTAGCTTGCATGTCGAAATTTAAAATATAATTTAGCAACTTTTAAAATAAATCCTTACCATATATGGACAGCATTGGACAAACCACCTGAGATCAAAGACCCTATGTGGACAAAACACCTATGATCAAAGCCGGACCAGTTAATAGACCACCTGTGATCAAAGAACCTCTGCTGAGAAAACACCTGTGGTCAAACCCCCTATGGTCAAACCCCCTATGATCAAACCCCCTATGGTCAAAGCACCGCTATGGTCAAAGGCCCGCTGTGGTCAAACGCCCTATGGTCAAAGCTCCTATGGTCAAAGCTCCGCTGTGGTCAAACCCCCTATGGTCAAACCCCCTATGGTCAAAGCACCTGTGGTCAAAGGTCCTAGGACCTTGAGTAGTTATATTTGGTGGTCTAATTGAGTGTTATATAAGAATAAACAGGCACACACAAAATAGGAATTTAAAATTTATTTTTGAAAATTACCTTCTTCTAAATAAATAAACCGGGAGTGATCTTCCCAAAATTTTTTTCGAATATTCTTATATAACTTGGAATATGGACATGATTTTTAATTACTTGAACTTTTAAAGATAGAATAGAATCTCATAGAAAAAAGAATTGCGCACCAAGCAAACGCCAAAACAAAATGTGCATAATAGTGCGCAATATTATTAGTACTTTATAAATTTACATGCGTTTTTTTGAGAAATCGGAAATAGCGTAAATTAGTACTTCCTGTCAAACGGAAATTACTCAAAATTTGACAGAAGGTAGAGAATTAGATCTTTTACTTACATGTGAAATTTCATTTTTCTTTCTGAAATAATACTCAAGTTATAGGCTTTTGAAAAATTCAAAGTAGAAAAAGTACCTCTTCCGGTTATCGGAAATCGCTCAAAAGTTGATACGGATTTACGATTTTGATAAAATACTTATATATGAAATTTCATCAACCTAGCTGTAACGGTACTCAAGTTATCGTGTTTACACACAGACAGACAGACACACACACACACACACACAGACACACAGACATACGGACAAGATTGCAAAATTATGTTTTTCCGTATCGTATTTACGAGAAAGTAAAAATGCCTATATTAGTGTTTGAAAGTTATATTAAAATGAAAATTACGATTTCGTTCGTATACACAATGTTCGGAACATCTTTATAACTCTGATACATAGGCCTATTTGATTACTATTTCATTAATTAAAACTTACCAGTATAAAAAATAAAAGTAAAATACCAATAATTATCCTTAGCTAGCTTTAAACATCGTATTATTTTGTTGAATTTTAAGTAAAATTTGTAGTAATATATGTTGTTATATTTGTCTCAGAAAGAATATTAAAATGTGTATACTACTTTTTTTTGAATCGTGTTTTTAAATAATTTAAATTGTTTTATTTGTATTTTCTTTCTTTCTGGACACCAGGAAGTGTATCTCATTAGCAAGGGATTTCGGTTGGATTACCTGATTACCATTTATATTTGATTACCGTGTATCAGTCCCTTTTGTCCTTTGGCTCTCACCAGGCTTATCTTCCACCCCACTGAACACAGGGTAAACTCGTACCCCAACGTCCAGCACCGTCCATCTCCCCAGTTGAAATAAAAAATTATATATAGAATTTATATAGAAAATATATTCTTTTACCTATGTCCACCCTGTCGAAAATTATCAAACGTCCCACCCCCTCCGGAGAAAAAATTGTGAAAGAAACACCACCCAGTTCGGGTAATACGGAACTAAAGAGTCACACTTAATTGTACCCAGAGGCGTAGCGACCCTTCCCGGCGCCCTGGGACAAACTTTTCGATTTGCACCCCCCCGCTCGAGATTTCGATTTGCACCCCCCCCCCCTCAAACTTTCGATTTGCACCCCCCCTCTAGATTTCGATTTGCACCCCCCTCAAACTTTCGATTTGCACCCCCCTCGAGATTTCGATTTGCACCCCCCTCAAACTTTCGATTTGCACCCCCCTCAACCTTTCAATTTATTTTTCCAACCCATTTTGGCGCCCCCTAAGGTCGGCGCCCGGGGACATATGTCACCCCCCCCCCCTCGCTACGCTACTGGTTGTACCCGTTCACACATAAATCAAGACAGTCACACATTGTCAAACAAAGTCACACATAGCCACATGTCGTCACACATAGCCACAGACCGTCATAACAAAGACACAAACCGTCACACATAGTCACAGACCGTAACACATAGCCACCCTCGCCACCACACACCAACCACCACTTATCAAGTAAACACCTCTCAATTCACGAATGACACCAACAAGAAGGGGGAGTGAAGTGTGTAGGAGATTTTAATGGTCCCATCAATGTTGATGTAATTTATTCAATCAGTCGGATCCACTATACCTCCCTGATACTTAACACACAATACCTACCCAGTATATTCCGAACATCAAACATGTGTGTCGGCTGATCAGTTCCAGGACCCTAAGCTCAAGTGCCAATCATTGACTAACGTGTGACTAGGACTTTAACACGACACCTGGTTTACCTGTCAAAACCACTCAGGCGTGACACACGGTCACGTGTCACCTTGATAAAGGCTTGCTCTACAGAGTCAACACACAACACCGGTTCCTATCACGTGACTGATAAATCAAGAAAATACACGTACATACACGTACATCTTTTCTTTCAAGCACAACGAAATGGCTAAACGGTGCTTAATTTATATTTTGTAATATGTACCATATTTAGTTTATTCTCTTGTGAGAGAATTTTAGTTTTATCCGACTTTATATGAAGCAAATGTCGAAAGTTAACGAAATGCAGCTACCCTGTTGTATTGTGCTAAGCCTAATTTCCAGCTTGAAACAGATCCAAATGGTCAAGTCGACTAACTTAAAAATAGTAGATCGGACATGTGTTGAAAATATAAACAGCTAGTTTGGCTCTTATTTTTTTACACATTTAGAAGCCCTGGATTAAAGCAACGGATAGAATCTTGTACACATTTAGTAGCCTTGGATTAAAGAAACGAATTTAATCTTGTACGCATTTAGAACCCTTGGATTAAAGAAACGAATTTAATCTTGTACACATTTAGAACCCTTGGATTAAAGAAACGAATTTAATCTTGTACACATTTAGAACCCTTGGATTAAATCAATGAATAGAATGTGCTAACGTTACAAGCTATTTTGTTGCACACGTTTGACCTAGTCAGCGTTGAATGTTATCGAAAACGAAACACGGGAATTCCACTCGGATAGGATTATTTATTTATTTCCGACATTTTGTGGCATATACTGATGTTTTTATAGCCTCAAACATTGAGAAATGGTGTGTTATAATCAGTTAATTGATTGAACAAATAGTTATACAAACATTAGTTTCTTGTACACACTGCCGTGTTAGATTACAATACATGAACACACCAGCTAGAGGCTGACATATTTTAGAATGTTATTCCGTGTGTGTAATGGGGCACCTTTAGTTGCCAGGCAAGCCTATTTTTTTAAGCGACCTAAATGTGTTTTTTATTCTCTTTCTTGTTCTTGTTATACAAAAATTTACAGAAAGGTTACATTGAAACCGTATTCTATAATGTTTTATGATACATTTGTGCTAAAACGAACAACTAAGATTAGGATTTAAACTACAAGGGATTACAAATAGTAAAGGAAATCAATAGTACTAATACAAATTTTAAAGCCCAGGTTTTCTTTTTTGAGTAGATTTCCAAAATAGTTTTAATTTTCTTAATAAGCTACGTAACTGTTTACAAAACTACAGATATATTGATTATCTGACTACTATGTATACAGAAATACGGATGCACCAGGAGTTATTCATTAAACCCAGTGTCGATAGTTTGTTTTTGTTCAAATAATATCTACATACAGAGCTGAAATAGTTTGTTTTTGTTCAAATGATATCTACATACAGAGCTGAAATAGTTTGTTTTTGTTCAAATGATATCTACATACAGAGCTGAAATAGTTTGTTTTTGTTCAAATAATATCTACATACACAGCTGAAATAGTTTGGTTTTGTTCAAATAATATCTACACACTGAGCTGAAATAGTTTGTTTTTGTTCAAATAATATCTACACACACAGCTGAAATAGTTTGTTTTTGTTCAAATAATATCTACATACAGAGCTGAAATTGTTTTTGTTCAAATAATATCTACACACAGAGCTGAAATAGTTTGTTTTGTTCAAATAATATCTACATACACAGCTGAAATAGTTTGGTTTTGTTCAAATAATATCTACATACAGAGCTGAAATTGTTTTTGTTCAAATAATATCTACACACACAGCTGAAATAGTTTGTTTTTGTTCAAATAATATCTACATACACAGCTGAAATAGTTTGGTTTTGTTCAAATAATATCTACACACTGAGCTGAAATAGTTTGTTTTGTTCAAATGATATCTACATATAGAGCTGAAATAGTTTGTTTTTGTTCAAATGATATCTACATACAGAGCTGAAATAGTTTGTTTTTGTTCAAATAATATCTACATACACAGCTGAAATAGTTTGGTTTTGTTCAAATAATATCTACACACTGAGCTGAAATAGTTTGTTTTTGTTCAAATAATATCTACACACACAGCTGAAATAGTTTGTTTTTGTTCAAATAATATCTACATACAGAGCTGAAATTGTTTTTGTTCAAATAATATCTACACACAGAGCTGAAATAGTTTGTTTTGTTCAAATAATATCTACATACACAGCTGAAATAGTTTGGTTTTGTTCAAATAATATCTACATACAGAGCTGAAATTGTTTTTGTTCAAATAATATCTACACACACAGCTGAAATAGTTTGTTTTTGTTCAAATAATATCTACATACACAGCTGAAATAGTTTAGTTTTGTTCAAATAATATCTACACACAGAGCTGAAATAGTTTGTTTTTGTTCAAATAATATCTACATACAGGGCTGAAATTGATTGGTTTTGTTCAACTAATATTTACATACAGAGCTGAAATAATTTGTTTTTGTTCAAATAATATCTACATACAGAGCTGAAATTGATTGGTTTTGTTCAAATAATATCTACACACAGAGCTGAAATAATTTGTTTTTGTTCAAATAATATCTACATACAGAGCTGAAATAGTTTGTTTTTGTTCAAATGATATCTACATACAGAGCTGAAATAGTTTGTTTTTGTTCAAATGATATCTACATACATAGCTGAAATAGTTTGTTTTTGTTCAAATAATATCTACATACACAGCTGAAATAGTTTGGTTTTGTTCAAATAATATCTACACACTGAGCTGAAATAGTTTGTTTTTGTTCAAATAATATCTACACACACAGCTGAAATAGTTTGTTTTTGTTCAAATAATATCTACATACAGAGCTGAAATTGTTTTTGTTCAAATAATATCTACACACAGAGCTGAAATAGTTTGTTTTGTTCAAATAATATCTACATACACAGCTGAAATAGTTTGGTTTTGTTCAAATAATATCTACATACAGAGCTGAAATTGTTTTTGTTCAAATAATATCTACACACACAGCTGAAATAGTTTGTTTTTGTTCAAATAATATCTACATACACAGCTGCAATTGTTTTTGTTCAAATAATATCTACACACTGAGCTGAAATAGTTTGTTTTGTTCAAATAATATCTACATACACAGCTGAAATAGTTTGGTTTTGTTCAAATAATATCTACACACAGAGCTAAAATAGTTTAGTTTTGTTCAAATAATATCTACACACAGAGCTGAAATAGTTTGTTTTTGTTCAAATAATATCTACATACAGGGCTGAAATTGATTGGTTTTGTTCAACTAATATTTACATACAGAGCTGAAATAATTTGTTTTTGTTCAAATAATATCTACATACAGAGCTGAAATTGATTGGTTTTGTTCAAATAATATCTACACACAGAGCTGAAATAATTTGGTTTTGTTCAAATAATATCTACATACAGAGCTAAAATAGTTTGTTTTTGTTCAAATAATATCTACATACAGAGCTGAAATAGTTTGTTTTTGTTCAAATAATATCTACATACACAGCTGAAATTGATTGGTTTTGTTCAAATAATATCTACACGCAGAGCTAAAATAGTTCGTAGAGTTACTTGGTTTAAATTCGTCAACTATTTCTTTATCCGCCATTAGGTTATTTAATATATTGTTTTATAAAACACAGGTGAGCAGAGAAATTAATGTCGTCATTAAAGTGAATGACTTGTTATGGATAGCTGATGGTTTTTTAAATAAATATAGGCAAGCTAATCTGACTAAATAAGAAGATGGAGAATTGACACAGTAGTAGCAAAAATGTTGGATGCTATTCTCACTAAGCACTAAGCAATCTTGATGTGATTTATTAATTTTTAATGATAAAATTTAAAGTAATACATGGCAAAAGATATTGATAAAATTAGCTAATTTATAATGAGAAAGATGTCGTATTGAAAAGCTGCAAGTACGAGTAACCTAACCTCTAATAGCCTTACACGAAAAGTGAACCAATACACGTATAATGGGAAATATCTTTTAGGAGAAGTCCAAAATGATACAAAAGTACTTTATAAAAGCAATTATTTTTGTAATATTGACTTGAAAATGTGGAAAATATATTGTAAATTCGGTTGGACGCCAAGATGATATTAGCATCTGAGAGTTGTGGATGAGATTAACAAATGGCTTCTTTAAACCAACACGATCTTTCTCTGGGCCACTTTGCTCAGTGTGAAGTGAGAGGGGCCAAAACAAAAGAATTTCTTCTAGCAGCTAAAACTGGTGACTGTACAAAATTAGAACATTTAATTAATGATGGGTGTCATATTCACGCTGTTAAAAGTAATGGATCCAATGCGTTAATGTTGGCATCTAAAAATGGGCATTTACAAATTATACAGCTTTTAATTAAAAGTGGTATAGATGTTAATGTTAAAAATAACAAAGGATGGGATGCATTAATGATAGCCTCAAAATATGGACGTGATGAATCTGTGGAACATTTAATCCAATGTGGTTGTGATGTGAACGCTGTTAAAAACAATGGCTGCAGTGCATTAATGCTAGCTGCTGAAAGGGGATTTGAAACGACTGCCGATATTTTAATTCAAAATAAAACTGAACTTCATACAGTTAACATTGAAGGGTGGAACGCTTTAATGTTTGCATCTAATAACGGACATACAAGAACGGTAGAACTTTTAATTAATAATGGGGCTGATGTTAACACGTTGAATACATCTGGAAATAATGCACTAATGTTAGCCTCTGAAAATGGACATAGGGAAGTGGTAGAACTTTTAATTTTAAGTGGTGCTGATGCAACAACCATTAACAATAATGGAAGCAATGCATTAATGCTTGCTTCTAAAAATGGACATGACGATACGGTAGAAGTTTTAGTTCAATGTGGGATTGATGTGAATGTTGTCAAAAATAATGGATGGAATGCCCTTATGCTAGCTTCTAATTACGGACATGCAGCAACTGTACAACTTTTGATACAATGTGGAGGTGGTGTTAACGCTGTTGATGCTGATGGATGTAATGCCTTAATGCTGGCGGCTAAATCTGGACATGTAGCAACCGTTCAGATGTTAGTTGAAAGTGGAGCTGATATTAATGCAGTAAACAATCAAGGCTACACGGCAGAGAAGTTAGCTTCAAAACTCAAATATGACAACATCATTAGAGTTCTAAAAACTTATCATAGCCCCTCGTCTACGGATTTATCTGTTGAAGCTACAAATGTAGGACAAACCAATCCGGTGGGCAGGATGGTACATGCAGTAAGTGCAAATCATGTTTTGTGTTTGTAAACTTTTCGTCCAGGATAAAAATGTCTTTGTCTATTCATTTATCTCGTTTTACATTGCGAAATTGTAATGTTTATATTAACTAGTGTGAAACGGTTGTCATTGTTTTTGTGTATATTGCAAGAATCACTAATAAATTTAAACCGTTAACAATACTGTAAATCACATGAAATGTTAAGTTGCTACATTACCAAATATATATATATATATATATATATATATATATATATATATTACCAAATGTATATATATATATATATATATATATATATATATATATATATATATATATATATATATATATATATATATATACATATATATATATATATATATATATATATATATATATATATATATATATATATAGGTGCTATATGTTTTATTAAGGTAAACTGTCAACAGAACATACCAAATACCATTTGCGAAGGAGATATACTATCCCAGCTTAGTGCACAACACGCTGACCTAAGCTTAAACACAAATGAAGACAACAGCGTTGGGGCAGAAGAAACAGAGTTTAAACAAACTGTGGCATCTGACAGGTCGTTGACCCCGGAAGTGGCAGGAAACCTAGCACCAGGTCCAGGACACAGACTTCCAATGTGTCGCTGTTGTGGCACGTGTCATCTGCCGAGGTCATGTCCAGCTTACGGTCAAACTTGTGAGAACTGTGGGAAGAAGAACCACCTGACATCTGTGTGTTGGGTAACCTTGGCAACAGCTCGGGCTAGCTCACAATATCGAGCAAACGATGGTGGGACTGTAATCCTACAGGCTGCTTGTAATGCTACACCACGTAAGGAAATATTTATCATGGTGCATGTTCTTATAATACTTGTAAAGACTTATCCTTACCAAAATAGTTTACCAAGTAGTTTTCATCAAAGTTAATTGTTGACTTAAATTTACTATAAGATATATCAGTTATCAACATTTATACTTTGTAATCAGTCTACAGTAACTCGAGAAGAGCTATATATGATTACATCAGGCGTTGGAAGTTTAAATCAAATGTTTTACTATAAGTTTTACAGTATATTTTGAATTTATTTTGAATAATGTTTTTTTTTCGCTTCAACTTTTAAGACAATTTTAATTTATTGTGATAAAAAAAAACTGCGAAATACAAATAAAAATCAAATACATAATTACTGGAATTCCCCTCTTATTTCCAAACTAGGAAAATCTGCTCAACTACAAACTCGTGACACGGCGAAGAAGAGGATGCTAATTTAACTTTATCGTTTAAATGACAATGTGTTAAATTATTCAATGAAAGGGATTGTTGTGTGTACACGACTGAGTTTATTCTGAAAAAAGTGACTCCTAATAAATACACACACAAACAAGAATATATATACACACACAAACACACATACATACACGCAATATTATGTAATTTTATTTAAACAAATATGAGTTTGCGTCCACATGTGTAAATAGAATATAATATATGTGTATATAAATAGCCTATATTCGCGATATTTTTTCTCGTCTGTTATAATTTTTCCAGTAAAATATCTATACTGATTATCATTCTTTTAGATTAACACAATTTAACTAACATTTTAAATGCTATGTTACTATAAACTATGAAAAATCAATGACAAGTTCTAAATTTGTAAATATATTCTTTTAATTAATGCATTATATAACTATCCACGACGATATCAGATTTTATAACAGTTTGCAGAGAGGTCTACTGATTACGATGTAACAATTCTAGGACTTCTTCTATTTTTTTAGGCTCATCTCAAATAAGAAATAATGCCATCAACGATGATCTCTTCGGCACAAATTATCGTTGCGAGTTTGACCTAACCTTTAATACAAATGAAGACACGAGCGTTGGAGCGGAAGAAACCGAGTTTAAACAAACTCTAGCATCTGACAGGTCGTTGACCCCGGAAGTGGCAGGAAACCTAGCACCAGGTCCAAGACACAGACTTCCAATGTGTCGCTGTTGTGACACGTGTCATCTGCCGAGGTCTTGTCCAGCTTACGGTCAAACTTGTGAGAACTGTGGGAAGAAGAACCACCTGACATCTGTGTGTTGGGTAACCTTGGCAACAGCTGGGGATTGCTCACAGTATCGAGAAAACGATGGTGGGACTGTAGGTCTACAGGCTGCTTGTTATGCTACACCACGTAAGGAAATATTTGTGTACATTATGGTGCATGTTCTTATAATACTTGTAAAAAGTTGTCCTTACCAAAATAGTTTACCAAATAGTTTTCATCAAAGTTAATTGTTGACTTAAATTTACTATAAGATATTATCAGTTATCAACATTCACACTTTGTACTCAGCCTACAGTCAGAGGCGTAGCGACCCTTCGCGGCGCCCGGGGACAAACTTTCGATTTGCATCCTCCTTCAAGATTTTGATTTGCACCCCACCCCAATCAAACTTTCGATTAGCCCCTCCCCCCTCGAGATTTCGATTTCCAACCCTCCCTCAAACTTTCGAGTTGCACTCCTGGGTTAGATCACTGTATTGCTCACACACCTCTTTATTGGTAATTGCAGAAACAATATTCACAGAGTTTTATCTGTTTCAAAAGCTATGATTTTGGCGCCCCCTAAGGTCGGCACCCGGGGACATGTGTCCACCCCCCTCGCTACGCCTCTGCCTACAGTAACTCGAGAAGAGCTATATATGATTATATCAGGCGTTTGAAGTTTGAATCATATGGTTTACTATAAGCTTTACAATATATTTTGAATTAATTTGTTTTTCGGTTCAAATAAATGTTAAGACAATTTTAATTTATTGTGACCAGACACCTTTGTAATATAAAAATAAAAAGCAAAATATAATTACTGGAACTCTTCTCTTATTTCCAAACTAGGAAAATCTGCTCAGTTACAAACACATGACACGGCGAAGAGGATGCTAATTTAACTTTATCATTTAAATGACACTGTGTTATATTATTCAATGAGAGGGATTGTTGTGTGTACACGACTGAGTTTATTCTGAAAAAAAAAAGCGATTCGTAATAAATACACACACAAACACAAACAAGAATATATATACACACACAAACACAGATACATACACGCAATATTATATAATTTTATTTAAAAAATATGAGTTTGCGTCCACATGTTTAAATAGAATATAATATATATGTATATAAATAGCCTATATGGCTATATTCGCGATATTTTTTCTCGTCTGTTATAACTTCCAGTATAATATCTATACTGATCATCATTCTTTTAGATTAACACAATTGAACTAAAAATTTAAATGCTATGTTACTATAAACTATGAGAAATCAATGACAAGTACTAAATTTCTAAATTTATTCTTTTGATTAATACATTATATAACCGTCCACGACGAATCAGATTTTATAACAGTTTGCAGAGAGGTCCACTGATTACGATGTAACTATTCTAGGACTCCTTCTATTTTTAGGCTCATCTCAAATAAGAAATAATGCCATCAAAGATAATCTTTTCGGGACAAATTATTGTTGCGAGTTTGACCTAAACTTCAATACAAATGAAGACACGAGCGTTGAAGCGGAAGAAACAGAGTTTAAACAAACTCTAGCATCTAACAGGTCATTGACCCCGGAAGTGGCAGGAAACCTAGCACCAGGTCCAGGAAACCGACGTCCCAAGTGTCGCTGTTGTGGCACGTGTCATCTGCCGAGGTCTTGTCCAGCTTACGGTCAAACTTGTGGCAACTGTGGGAAGATGAACCACCTGACATCTGTGTGTAGAGTAACCTTGGCAACAGCTGGGGGTAGCCCAGTTGAGGTGACAGTTCAGAGATCAGGCAGTGTATCAGGTGAGGAAACATTTGAAAGCTTTTTTTTAAACTTGACTCCTTGTTGTTCCTCCAGTATGTGTAGGTAGAATCCTGCCATCTATTTTGTACATTCTACCGAACTAATTTCTTTCAAAGTTTAGTAGTTAATTTATTTAGTATCCCAATCATGTGTACCTAATTATATGTGGATCTAGTTTGCTATAATGTGTTCAAATAAATGTAACACGTTTACTTCGTTTAAATGACTGAATCAATGTCATGAGTTGTTTTATGAAAGACTGAGTTGTTGGTTGAAATCTATAAAATTAATAAGCCGATTGTGTGGAGTTTCCACACCCACACCAATGCGAGGCTTACCACCACACCACGGCTTACAATGAGAGCATTGCGCCAATTTTTTTTACCGCAGCTAAGCACGGGTATAAGCAAAAACAAATAGCATAATTATGAGTAGGCCTACACGGTATTTAGGTTTTAATAAAACATTGTAAACATACGTACTATGTTAGTAAAAATCAAATATGTAAAAGTTTAGGAACATAGTTTATTTAATACAATACGACATGCGATATTAAAGTCGATCATCTTTATTCTGCTAGCTATTGCCAGAGGAAATACAACTGAACAGCCCCTCTTAAGATCGCAGAGTGAAACCTGTATCCGGAGCACTGTTTGCTATTGTTGTGGCACCAGTCATCAACGTCGACAATGTCCAGCTCTTGGTCAAACTTGCAGCAAATGCGGCAAGGTCAATCACTTCACTGCTGCGTGTAAATCGTCTGCTAAAACATCCCCCACTCAAAGTCAAACGCCGGAAGGTTCCATCACTTCATCTGGTAAGGGGAAAAGCTTTATAATATGACCATAATCTAAATCTATAATGGGCCACGTTCGCACATCTCTCTCTCTCTCTCTGTCCGCAAAAAATTTTCGCCGGACATCACGTCAGAAACGGCAGCGATATATGGAGAACTTTATACGGACTTTTGTTGAAAATAATATGTTAGATGTTTTAAATGTATAACCACAATTTTATTTAACGAAGAAAAATATAAAATAAAGGCGTATTCGAATGTAGAGAAACAGTATTATTTATGCAACCGGAAAAGCATTAATAGATGTGTAAAAGAACGCATAAAACTGTGACGACACTATTGCTTACTAATGACGTCATCTGCTGTGTTTAGAATAAAAAAAGAAATGAACTATTTCATTCAAATTTGATTTAGATCTACGTACACTATGAAATGTATACAATACAATTTTTCCGGCCTAAACTCATAACATTTATTTATACAAAATCTTTGTTTGGAACTGGCTAATTTGGGATAAAAAAATTAATTTGAAAGAATAGGCATATTCGCATTAGTTACGATTTTAAAATACGTCTTTCATTCTCTGGATTTTATAAGGTGCCTAAATAGCGGAGATGTTAGTGTACTATAAACCACGCAGGTGGTGCGGGTTCGAGACCCACCAAGTCAACTTGGTTAATGTATTTTTTTTTATTTTGCTCGGACTAAACTTAAAAAAAAAATTCAATTAGGATTCTAGATCTAGATCTAGATTGTCGGGTGTCCGATAAGGCACTTCCCGGCGCCGCAGGCGCTTCAAATTTGGCAGGATCTTGCCTTGGGGCGACAGAGCACGGGGGCCGGTTGGCCGAAAAGTCTACGATGAGGGGGTCAAAACTGACCTCGACTGACCGGTACCTTATATGAGCTATAAATCGAAAAAAAATGTCCACGGAGGAACCTCTTCATAACTCTTGAGGTCGTAGACCGACCCTCGGGCGAATTAATTAAGCATTCAAATTCTCAATGTTTTCGAAAGCCTAAGCGAAGCTGGGCAGCATGCCTAGTAACGTATAAAACTAAACTATTTCCTTTTTTTCAGCATCTCTAGATCAAGACAAACCCATTCATGGCAAACTACAAGATCAACATTACTCTCTATTACGTTCAAACTACACATTTCTAGTTGAAAATATAGATTCAAAGTCTATAGTAAACCATCTCTTTTCGAAAAACATTCTAGATTTCAATAACAAACAGCTAGTGACAAGTAAAGCGACTCCTGGGGAAAGGACCGAAGCCTTGTTGGATATAATTCTTAATGCGGGGCCGAGGCGAGCCTTTCCTGAGTTTATAAACGCTCTTAAAGATGAATATCCACATATAGCTGAAATACTGAGCGAACTGGTGTAACGAATAGGCCCTACGTGTTCTTAATGATTGGGGTTGATTTTAAACTTAGTGTGATCAAAGTGTGATAAGGAGGATTATTCCTGAACACAACAACAAGATCAATGCAGTTCTTATACTTGCCTTGACTAAACCTACTCCCGTTTGGTAATCAGTGTTAAGTTAAAATTGGGTTTAGTTCAGGAAAGAGGTGGGATTTATTTTTTTTTTGCATTGTTTCTTTAAAATTCTGGCAGTTTCCGGTAACCAAAGTTAATTAGCAATAGAGGATGGAATTAAGATGTGGGACTAATTAATGACAGCTGTGATATAAAATGTAGCGCGATCAATGGCAGTGTTTATTTGTGATTAATTACGCTTAGTGACGTGTCTTAATTAAATTATGTTTTCATTAACTGAAAATAAATTTCTATCTTTCGTTTATTTTAGTGTCTCAAACTGTATTCACCATACAACTTAAAGAAAAAGTTGTCTTGTTGTCCGATAATAAACTGGAGTTAGCACACTTACTCAAATAAAATGATGTTGAGAGTAATGAAGGAGATAGATTGTAATAACACAATTTCAACGTGTTAATGCAATATAACACTTTGACAGCATATAATTATATACACTGATACAAACATATTCAATAACGTAATGAGAAAAACATTATAAACACTCATAACGCATAAAGTAACACAAACGCATAAAGGCTACACAAACACACATACAACTTCGCAAACACGTACACGTTATTTCTAACGATGCGGATTCGAATAGAAATAAAACTAATATCAAAACAAAAGTAATAGCCGCATTGTAGGAGATTTTCAATATCACTAGCATCGTTTTCTGAATATGAATTACAAACTACAGCTCGACAGGTTTGAGAATACTGGAGTCGTTGGTCTAGCACCACTTCCAACTGGTGTCTGCTGAAAATCTCCCCAATATTTTAACACGGTCTCTCGTCTGATTACATCTTGACTTACATCTTGACTTACTACATTCCATAACCAACTGCTTCTGGACAGTTTCTTCAGCCTGCAGTTGTAAGGTGTTTGCCCGATGTTTTGTTACATTACATTCAGTGCCAGGCTGTCGTGTTACAGGGGGCTCTGGTCTGGCAGCTAGAACACATGTTGGACGTGTGAAGTAGATGCTGTCATCCCTCAAACCCCATCACAAATGGACTCGTCTGGCAGCTAGAACACATGTCGGATTTGCTGTGTGAAGTAGATGCTGTCCTCCCTCAGACCCCAGCACAAATGGACTCGTCTGGCAGCTAGAACAACTGTTGGACTTGCTGTGTGAAGTAGATGCTGTCATCCCTCAAACCCCAGCACTAGTGGACTCGTCTGGCAGCTAGAACACATGTTGGACTTGCTGTGTGAAGTAGATGCTGTCATCCCTCAAACCACAGCACCAATGGACTCGTCTGGCAGCTAGAACACATGTTGGACTTGCTGTGTGAAGTAGATGCTGTCATCCCTCAAACCACAGCACCAATGGACTCGTCTGGCAGCTAGAACACATGTTGGACTTGCTGTGTGAAGTAGATGCTGTCATCCCTCAAACCCCAGCACTAGTGGACTCGCCTGGCAGCTAGAACAACTTTTAGACTTGCTGTGTGAAGTAGATGCTGTCATCCCTCAAACCCCATCACAAATGGACTCGCCTGGCAGCTAGAACACATGTTGGACTTGCTGTGTGAAGTAGATGCTGTCATCCCTCAAACCCCAACACTAGTGGACTCGCCTGGCAGCTAGAACAACTTTTGGACTTGCTGTGTGAAGTAGATGCTATCATCTCTCAAACCCCATCACAAATGGACTCGTCTGTCAGCTAGAACACATGTCGGATTTGCTGTGTGAAGTAGATGCTGTCATCCCTCAAACCCCAGCACTAGTGGACTCGCCTGGCAGCTAGAACACATGTTGGACTTGCTGTGTGAAGTAGATGCTGTCATCCCTCAAACCACAGCACCAATGGACACGTCTGGCAGCTAGAACACATGTTGGACTTGCTGTGTGAAGTAGATGCTGTCATCCCTCAAACCACAGCACCAATGGACTCGTCTGGCAGCTAGAACACATGTTGGACTTGCTGTGTGAAGTAGATGCTGTCATCCCTCAAACCCCAGCACTAGTGGACTCGCCTGGCAGCTAGAACAACTTTTAGACTTGCTGTGTGAAGTAGATGCTGTCATCCCTCAAACCCCAGCACTAGTGGACTCGTCTGGCAGCTAGAACACATGTCGGATTTGCTGTGTGAAGTAGATGCTGTCATCCCTCAAACCCCAGCACTAGTGGACTCGCCTGGCAGCTAGAACACATGTTGGACTTGCTGTGTGAAGTAGATGCTGTCATCCCTCAAACCCCAGCACTAGTGGACTCGTCTGGCAGCTAGAACACATGTTGGACTTGCTGTGTGAAGTAGATGCTGTCATCCCTCAAACCCCAGCACTAGTGGACTCGTCTGGCAGCTAGAACACATGTCGGATTTGCTGTGTGAAGTAGATGCTGTCATCCCTCAAACCCAGCACTAGTGGACTCGCCTGGCAGCTAGAACACATGTTGGACTTGCTGTGTGAAGTAGATGCTGTCATCCCTCAAACCCCAGCACTAGTGGACTCGTCTGGCAGCTAGAACACATGTCGGATTTGCTGTGTGAAGTAGATGCTGTCATCCCTCAAACCCCAGCACTAGTGGACTCGCCTGGCAGCTAGAACACATGTTGGACTTGCTGTGTGAAGTAGATGCTGTCATCCCTCAAACCCCAACACTAGTGGACTCGTCTGGCAGCTAGAACACATGTTGGACTTGCTGTGTGAAGTAGATGCTGTCATCCCTCAAATCCCAGCACTAGTGGACTCGTCTGGCAGCTAGAACAACTTTTGGACTTGCTGTGTGAAGTAGATGCTGTCATCCCTCAAACCCCAACACTAGTGGACTCGTCTGGCAGCTAGAACACATGTCGTATTTGCTGTGTGAAGTAGATGCTGTCATCCCTCAAACCCCAGCACTAGTGGACTCGCCTGGCAGCTAGAACACATGTTGGACTTGCTGTGTGAAGTAGATGCTGTCATCCCTCAAATCCCAGCACTAGTGGACTCGTCTGGCAGCTAGAAAACATGTTGGACTTGCTGTGTGAAGTAGATGCTGTCATCCCTCAAACCCCAGCACTAGTGGACTCGTCTGGCAGCTAGAACACATGTTGGACCTGCTGTGTGAAGTAGATAATGTCATCCCTCAAACCCCAGCACTAGTGGACTCGTCTGTCAGCTAGAACAACTGTTGGACTTGCTGTGTGAAGTAGATGCTGTCATCCCTCAAACCACAGCACTAGTTGACTCGCCTGGCAGCTAGAACACATGTCGGATTTGCTGTGTGAAGTAGATGCTGTCATCCCTCAAACCCCAGCACTAGTGGACTCGTCTGGCAGCTAGAACAACTTTTGGACTTGCTGTGTGAAGTAGATGCTGTCATCCCTCAAACCCCAGCACCAGTGGACTAGTCTGGCAGCTAGAACAACTGTTGGACTTGCTGTGTGAAGTAGATGCTGTCATCCCTCAAACCCCAGCACTAGTGGACTCGTCTGTCAGCTAGAACACATGTTGGACTTGCTGTGTGTAGATGCTGTCATCCCTCAAACCCCAGCACTAGTAGACTCGTCTGGCAGCTAGAACACATGTTGGACTTGCTATATGATGTGTTTGATGTAATTCCCCAAGCCCCATCACTAATTGATAAGAATTTCGACAAAACAAGAACATAAGAATAAGAAATAAAATCTATGTATTTTAAAACAAAATATTTATTTTTTTCCCGGAAAATAAATTTGATTAAAACAATTAGTATAGTTAATTAGATATTTTTTCGCATCAGCGCTGTCATTGTAAATTCATGTTTTATTTTACTTATTTGCGCTCAATGTAGCCTAAGATATTTTTTCAACTCAAAGTTATTGCATTTATTGTTTAATAAAAGGATTGTTAAAAACAAGACATATTTCTTAAGTTATATTTTTTTTTCAAAGCTCGCAGACTAGGTCAGTGAACCGACTTGATTCATAGATTGCTTGTCCAGTTGCATAAACGTCCCCGCCAAATTCGTCACACAGGCCTTGTGCGTGAGCTCGCATACAGTTCCTCACCGTAGTCAAATGGCTGGTAAACAACAACAAGCATAAAATATTCTACAATGTTTTAGTTTAATCTTGTACAATGGTGTAAATGTCAACTTTCATGTTGTACAATAAAGTGGGAGTGATCTCCCCTGAATGCATTCATACACTTAAACGTATTTTTATATTCGTAAAGGGGAATAGCATTTTCTGTGCAAGCGGGCTATAGAAATAGAGAAGTTTGTGACAATACATCTCGTTTGTTGAGAGAAAATTTATTAGAATATTCTTTTATGAGAAAATGATATCAAATCATTGCATTCTAAAGGTTTTTGAAATTCCACTCTGTAACTACACAACAGCGATAAACCAAAAATGTGAAGTCGATTTCAGAAAGATGTAGACTTGACCCACCTGTATTTTGGAGGAGGAAGTAATTTGCATACTGCTTATGTTCACCTTTCTTGTCAAAACCTATGCCTTGACAAACAGAATAGACCAAATCGCCACAAAAATGGTCCAGAAAAAAACAATTTCAAAGGGCTAGTGAAAGTGGGGACTAGATAAACTAAACTAAAACAAAGACCATGATAACAACATTTTCGCTCCCGACAAAATATTTCATCAAAATGTACTACGAGTGCAACAGCAGTCGAGTATTAGCTGTGCTAAAAATGTACTATGAGTGCAATAGGAGCCGAGTATTGGCGGTGCTTTGATGTCGTGGTCTCTATTGAAGGGGCTCGTTTCGTCGAAAGTCATGTTGTCGGCAGTTGTTACCTGATCATTTCACAAACGTTCTAGGCGTGAGCATCCGAAGTCCGAAAAGGAAGATCGTGAGTATATGTTATGGTATGGATACAGTTATGGTAATAAAAATCAGGTGTACTTTGATCACCAGCCCTCAAATTATCTTGTATTCTAATTTGTATTTATGTCTAGTTAATGTATTTTAATGTACATTATGAATTGTGTAACGTACACGATATTTTACTGGGATAATATCTTACCAACAGGTGGCTGTAGTGCGTTCTCTTAAATGGAAAGTGCAGTAGTCGACAGCTGTAGAGAGGATATCTTGTTTATATTTGTCGCTCGAACAGTTTTGTGATTGAAATTCATCAGAAGCTAAATCAGAAGAAGATTAAATAATTATATTTTTAATTATGATAATGCTGTTTCTTCTGCTGCAAATGTTCATCATGATAATGGTAATATGGAGATTATAATGAAAAGTAGGAACATGATGACAATGACAAATATCATGATGATGATGGTAATGATAATAATGATGACGATAATGATAATCGCGATGATAAAGAATGATAATAATGATCATCATGATGGTAGCGGTGATGAAGTTGATGATGATGATGATGATGATAATGATATTAATCATGATGATGATGATGATAACGACAATAACGCTGATGATGAAAACCATTGAACCACCTCTTCTTCCGGCTTGGCTACAATACAAAGTCATGAGAAGCACTTTGTTTACTCTGTCTTTTACTGTTGTCGCATTGTCACATTGAGCTTTTGTGTTCTCAACACAACTTGTAAACGCTTCAAGGGCTCTGGAAACGAACACGTGACAAAGTAAACCAACCAAAAGCCACTGAGCATATCACGTGATGCACCATTACGTAAACTTACGAAAAATGACGAAAATAGCAGTATGTGTTAAGTATATCTTCATCATCTTTTTCTTCCTAGACTAGACACACTGCCTAGCTTCGCTTAAGTTTTCAAAAAACTTTTGAGAGTTTGAATGCTAAATTAATAAGTGATTGGCTGATATGGATAGCTTAAGATTAGAAAGTAACAGCAATTTTACAATATGCTGGAATGTTTAAAATCTATTACTTGAAACATAATTAGAACTATAATTAGAACTGAAATACTTAACATAAATTATAATCAAATGAATACTATACTTTGTCGTTTTCTGTTTGTGTTTAAAATTGTATAAAATTGTTTGAAAAATATTTATTTTAAAAGGTTACCTCCCTTGTAATGACGAAGTCTTTGTTTACTTTCTTGACTTATTTAACTAGCATAATGGTTTTTTTCGACGGGAATAAAGTTTTTTTGTTGCCCTCACGAAATATCAGGGGGGTCGTTCGGCAATTATTTTTTTTATGTATAGCTTGTCTGATATTTTTATACCTGAGATATTTTGTTCTGAGTTATTTTGTCCTAGATAATTTGCAGAGGCGTAGCGACCCTACGGGGACAAACTTTTCGATTTGCACCCCCCCCCCCTCAAACTTTCGATTTGCACCCCCCCTCGAGATTTTTATTTGCAACCCCCACCCCCTCAAACTTTCAATTTGCATCCCCTCAACCTTTCAATTTATTTTTCCAACCCATTTTGGCGCCCCTAAGCTCGGCGCCCGGGGACATATGTCCCCCACCGCCCCCCCCCCCCCCTCGCTACGCTACTGATAATTTGTTCTGTGATATTTTGTCCTTGAGCCATTTTCTCATTAGATATTCAGTCCGAGATATAAATTTTTCCTAAAAATACTATTGTCCTTGATATATTTTGTCTATCAAACTGATATAAGTAACTCAGACTTGTACACTAAATTGTTCATATGTGTGAAATATTTAAAAAAAATAGATTAAAAAAAAAAACCACTCGCTCGCTCATTCTACCAAAGTGCTTCTATCAAGTTTTAAATAAAGTAATACAGGCGTTAATATCAAGTTTTAATTAAACTAATACAGGCGCTTATATCAAGTTTTAATTAAACTAATACAGGCGTTAATATCAA